TCCATTGTCAGTCTCAAGACACAACAAGGCAACAATTTAACAAGATGCTATGCTATTGCGTAACAAGAATATCCAATTCTCAGCTGGAGAATCCTCACTATCCACAATCCCATACTGACCTAGCCAATTCCACACTCTTTGTTCATTACTTGGTATACCCAACACCTTTGTTTTAGTCAGAACTCTTGTTATAAATGGCAGAAACCCAACTCAAATTGGCATTAGCAAAAAAGGGAAGTAAGAATTCCAAAACATATCTAATTCCAAAGGACTGGATCCAGAAGTTCTCACTATGTATCTACACTCTGGCACTTTCTCAAAAATCTCTTTCTATATGATGGCAAATGCCCATTGACATGCCAATCCTTCCTTATCAATACAACTTAAGAATTCAGAGGAAGAGAGACTACACATTAAACCTCATAAAGAAACACAGATCTGCCTTGCTTGGGTCACATAACTTTTGCTGACTAATCTTTGTGTAAGGGCATTGGTGTCTGACATCTGTAGCCAAGAATTGGAGCTGGGTCAGCCCACACAATGTGCAATGAGCTCCTCTCTAAAAGAAGGCTAAGGATAGTAGAAAGCAAAATAACCGATTTCCACTGCACTCATTAATCAGAGGTCACGTAGCAAGCGTGGTGGTATGAAGCATGGGCTATACATTCAGGGCACCTTGTTTGCATCCCAGCTCTGTCACATGTGAGCCAGATGACTTGGTCAAGTTGTGACCTGATCCTTTTACATATCACCTAACCATGGTCCAGTGGAAAGAGTATGAACTTTGGAATCACACAGAAGAGGGACTGACTTTCAGTTTTATTGTGTATTAACATATTGTCTTTGATATTCCTGAACTTTCCCTTCAATTTCATGATTGGTAAATTGGAGACGATACCAACTCATTTGCCAAGTGTTGTGAGGAGTCATTAGTGTTATATATGTGAAATTACAGACACAGTGCCTGACATTTCATAGCTAATAAAATGTTATAAAATCTTCAGGTGGAAATATATATTCCAATATACAGAATATCTTCAGTTCACAAAAGAAAAGGTTGAGGCCCCAGGCAATGAAATAGCTAACTCAGGTTTAAAATCCATCAGACTGAGACCAGATCCTGGATCCCCTGATGCCAATCCCATATTTGTGCTTCTACACTGTACAGCCCCTTCTGCCTTATGCTTTTTAAATGAGGAATGGCATTTTTAAAAGATAAATGAAGTTACTGATGGACAGGAATGAGAATCAATAGCATGGATTTTTAGAGAGTTGAATTATTCTTCTAATACTGTCTTACAGAAGGAGCAGGAGTAGAGGGAGAAAGACCATGGAATGATTCAGATGAGGGATGAGTAAGGTAGGCACAATGGAAGCTTAAGAGGAACATCATGGAAATAGCTAACATGGGTTCAGAAATGATAAGGACTTAATAAAAACCAGGGTAAGTAAAAAATATTTAACACAGTGTATGATAGAGGCATAAAACCATTCTGATCAGAAATAAAATTGGGAAATGCAAAAGGCAAGAAATAAGGAGAGAGACTGGAGTGGAAATGTGGGCCATAGTGTTGAGAAGTACAAAGGACTTGGGAAGTAAATAGAGAATGGGTACTTAGCATGAATGATTATGTGGCATTGAGGAATAAGCGAGATGGGAGGATACTGAGTCAAAATTGTGTTTGCTAAAGAAAGTGTTATCACGAGGGGAAAGTTTTTTCAGTTGACATGTATAAGAAAAAAAATAATATAATGAATTTTGTCCAATTGCTTGATTTTCAATAAAAATTCCTATTATCCTAAAAAGACTTCAATGCTGCCAACCATACCAAATAGACACTGTATCCTCTTATTATTTGACTAGAGGCCCAGGGCACGAAATTCATGCACTTAGGGGGGGTCCTTCAGCTTGCTCGGCCTGTGCCCTCTCGCAGTCCAGGACCCCTTGGGGGATGTCCATCTGCTGGCCACCACTGCTACTGTGCTCACCAGCTGTGAGCCCGGCTTCTGACTGAGTGGTACTCCCCCTGTGGGTGCACACTAACCACAGGGGGCAGCTCCTGTATTCAGCGTCTGCCCCCTGCTGGTCGGTGCACATTATAGCAACCAGTCCCTCAGCTGTTCCATTTATTTGCTTATTAGGATTTTATTATATAGGGTATCTTTCAACACAGTTGACCATTATCTCCTGTACACTTTTTCTTCTTGTGACTTCTCTAACACCACCCTCTCTTGATTCTTTGGCAGCTTCTCTGCCAAACTCCAAACGTTGTTATGCCCAGAATAGTACTTCTATTCTCAATATTCTTATTTTACTGAGCCACACTGGGTCTATAAATGACTTCATATAGTTGCAAGGATTATTATTTTATATGTAAGGGCTACCAAATTTTGTCTACAGCCATTGCCTCTATCTAAGCATCTTTCTGAGACTTCTCTGTTCAACTGCCTTCTCAAATAGGCACTTGAACATTTGGTCATTTCAAACTCAAAATATTCATAAAAAACTCTTGATTGCTAACCCAAACTCAGGAAATGATTACCAACATCCACTCCAAGAGCATAGGAATCATCTTCATTTCTCTCTATTCAATTTTCAAGCCCATAAGAAATGAGTCCCATGTTTAGATACAGCCAAAAAAAATAAATGTGAAAGATAATGTTCCACACCAGTTAGCCTTAGTTGGGAAAGGATCACCCAAAAACCAGAAAAGGGGAGATGCCACTAGCTATGGTGTGAAGTAGGAAAAAGAAATGCTGAACTCCTGGAGGGCCCAAAAATGAAAGGAAAAAAACCAGTGAGCAAGTCTGCCAGAACTGAGAAGTAACATGCTGTGCTCTCCTCAACTTTGGTAAGGCTAGACTGTCAAAACATGAGTTTCAAACTCTGCTATTTTTTTAATATATTTTATTGATTTTTACAGAGAGGAAGGGAGAGGGATAGTTAGAAACATCGATGAGAGAGAAACATCGATCAGCTGCCCCCTGCACACTCCCCACTGCGTATGTGCCCGCAACCAAGGTACATGCCCTTGACTGGAATCAACCCTGGGACGCTTGAGTCTGCACGCTGACCCTCTATCCACTGAGCAAAACCGGTTAGGTCTCTACTGTTTCTGATGAATAATTCTGTAATTAGGAGAAAATTCATGGCTTAAGAACAATAATCTGTTGATAAATAAAGAGAAAATGAATGCCACTATAGGATAATGAGATTAATGTGTCAAATATTTTGGCAAAATGAAAGAATTTTTGGACAGTCCCATAAAAGTAATAAATGTATATAAATATAATTTTATTATGTAATTATATAAACACTAGAGGCCCAGTACCCAAATTCGTGCACGGGTGGTGTCCCTCAGTGTGGCCTGTAGGGATCGGGCCCCAGCTCATGCCCCCAGCCTCACAGTCCCAGCTCGCGCCCCCATCCTTGCAGCTCCCACAGCCCCACCTGGCACCCCGCCTTGTCCTGGTGCTGCCCCATCACCTGCTCTACCATCCCGCCTGCAGGGCAATTGATTGGGGATGGGCCCCCTGCCCTGCTCCCTCAGGGCCTGAAAGCCAGGCAGTGGCCCCACCCCCTGCCGCCGCTACTGGTCACTGTCTGAGGAGCAATCAGTCATAGCTGGCACTCCCCCCAACCCGGCTCCTGGGAGCAAGGCGGCAGCCCCGCCCCCTGCTGCCACTGCTGGCACCATCCACTCACCTCCTTCACCATCCCACCGAGGTCCCACTCACATCAGGTCCCATCAGGGCTGGTAGCGTCTCCACTGCCGCCAGCTGCTAGCACTATGTCACCAACACCCACCATTTCTGTGCCACCCCCTGGTTGTCAGTGCACGTAATAAGGAGTGGTCAAACTACCAGTCAAGGGGACAATTTGCATATTAGGTTTTTATTATATAGGATATAAATAATTAAACTTGAATTGCTTTCTCAGAGCTAGGGTATATTGGCCTAAAGACAATTCAAATTCCATCATTTCAATTCCCAGATATAAATAAAACGAATTACATTTGTTTTTGTTTTACTTTCTCAGCCTGGAGATAAAATTTTTCCTAAAGATAAGAATGGCAATTTGATATTTCACAAGACAAATCTCTGTGCTACTTGGGAGGTAAGTTCAAGTGGGCCTTTCAGTCTTTCATTTTAAAAGACTACATTTTTGAATTGTGATCTGATTATTCCTATTTGATTTAGGAAGAGAAGCAGCCTTTACCCTCCCATTCCAAATTCTGAAGTCTGGGAATATACTCTAATGAGTACAACATGACTTTCTAATGGGTGTCCCCCTCTAGCTAACATTGAAGACCTGAAGGGTGGAGTTGTTTTGAGAGGTGAAGAGGCAGCTACTAGTTTTCTGGGGCTTGGGGCTCTCTACCCAAAAGACAATATACTCCCTCGTGATGTCATCGAAGCTGAGTAATCTGTAGTCTGGTGTTTCCCTCTAAGGGTCTGCCTGACAGGTTAGCCAGGATCCCCAGGAGAAAATAAGCTCATTGCTCAAAATAACAAGGTATTTATTTCACAAAGAAACAACATATCTCAATTACAGATCCCAACATAAACAGAACAGAGAACCAAGGACTTTTGAATTAGCCAATTAATATATTAAAGGTGATAAGAAAATATATTAGCAATGTGAAATAAGAAAACATTTTTAAAAACACGTATTAAGTAATAATTAGGAAAAATAAAACACAATGCAATAGATGGGATAAATATGAAATGGATATAAAGAAAAAGGGATCAAACTGAAAGATCAAAATGAGGAAATCTCCTAATATGAAGTAGGAAAAGACAAGAAAAAAATTAAATATGAAAGAAAGCGAAGAGATGTACAGTACTTAGAATTTTCAGTACTCACATAATAGAAAAACAATCAAGAAAGAAAAAGGTAAGGAGGTCATACTTAAAGGAAAGAAAACCAGAGATACTGAATGAGCATAGATTACCAAAGAGGGAAGAGAAGGAAACCCACACCTAGACACAATATAGAGAAATTTAAGAATATCAAATATAAAGAAAATGTCAATGATTTCAAAGT